CTAATCTTTATTTAGCAAAAATAAACATTGAATAATTATGAGTTTGTGGTAGGATTGGACTCGCTGGTAATACAAAAATGTGAAATATTCTATGTTATGTGCATAATCATTGTTGGAAAATGAATAGTTGCTTAAGCAAAACTCATTTCAATGAGAACTTGATATTTTTGGTGGTTAGATGACCATTTACTTGCTAATCAACATTATTTTAGGAAAAATCTAAACATTTTGGTTAATGGGGACCATTTATTCATTTAATAAAATTCATTTTAATGAGAATCCAAGACGTTTTATCGCTAATTGACTAAAGAGTCATTGGACGACGATTTGTCCATCAAAGTTATAAAGGATATAACTTGTAACTGAATAAAGTATTTTCTAACCTTTAAATAATATATTTTCAAGTGATTTTTAATGTTAAATGTATCATTCATGATTTATCATATAAATTTTTTTAAATATAATATATTAAATTATAATATTTTGGGTAATATAAATATTTTTATAATAAAAGAAAAACATATTATTAAAAAAAATTTAAAAAAATATTATTAGTAGTAGTAGTGGTAAATATATAATAAAAGATTAATTAATTATTAACAAATTAATAAAAATAAGAAAACCTTAATAAAAAAGAAAAAAATATATAGGAATCTTTTCCCTCTAAGAGATAAGCATAAATTTAATGAAAAAAAAAATATATGGCTACAAATACACGTGGGAGAAGGGAGGGGATTTACGAGAAAAAGAGAGAAATGTGAGAAATAATAAAGAGGAGGAGAAAAAGAGAAAAAGAAAAACAAATTTTGTGACTTTTGATGAATCATGTGTTGGGTATAAAAATGAAATATTTATTATTATTTTTATCAAAAAATAGAATATTTATTATTATTTTTAATTTTATTTTTTTAATTAAGATTATTAAGTAAGTGTCTTTATAATTTTATTTTATTTATTTTTAGTTATATATTAATATATTTTATATTTATTCATTTATTTATATTGATAGACATTAGACTTATTTTATTTAATTTCAGTTATGGATTAGTAATTAGTTTTATTTTATATTTATTTATTTATATTTTAGTTATTTATTAATATTTTATTATTTATCTTGAGTTATATATTTTATATTCTGACTTTCATTTTTATTTATTTATTCTCATTTTTATTTATTTATTTATTTACTTTCAATTATACAGTATTTTTTTAAAATTTATATTTATCTCTAGTTTTTATATTTATATTTATTTAATTAATTTATATTATTAGATTATTATTTAAATTTTTTAAAGAATCAAATATTTTATTTATAAAAATTTAATGATATTATAGATAAAAATTAAATATTAGAAATTTAAATAAGTAAATATCTTTAAGTAATTAATTTTTGACTCATTTATTTTTATTAGTAAAAAAATCAATTTAACATAATATAAAATAAATGAAATATATTGATAAAATTAAAAAATAAATTTTTATTTTTTATTATTATTTATTATATATATTATGAACTAAAATATTAATTTAAATAGATGAAAACATTAAATAAAAGATAAGTATTATTCATAAATAAAAAAATTAGAATAAATTTTTTTAATTTTAATGATATTTTTAAAATATAAATAATATACATTTACCTAATTTATGATAAATATATAAATATTTATCTCATATCTTCTTTTTTTTTATAAAATTTAATAAAAATAATTATTTATTAAAATATAATTAAATTAATAACGTGATAAAAATAGATGTAACTATAATATATTTTATACCATTGTTTGGTAAATGGTGAATTTGAATTTTATTATTTATGTTAAAATAAGTGATTTTAAATGATAAGTTATTATTGGTTAAATGATATAAGTTACAATAAGAAGTATATAATGTGATTTTGTATATCTGATATATATATATATATATATATATATATATATATTATAAAAAATACTAAAGTGAATGAAATATTTTGATTTTAATGATTATTGAAATTATATGAATAAAATAATTAAATAATAAGAGTTAAAAAATTATTTTATAATTTAGATTTCAATATATTAAAATTTTGGTAAAATAAGTAATGAAAATTTATCTAAATCAAGATGTACGTACTATTACAGAGTATCTTAATATTAAATATTTAAGAAAAATTATGATGTGACAGATGACATAATCATGAATTTGTACGAGAATAATATAATACAAATACATAAATTTAAATTACTAAATTATTTAAAATATTTGTATATTATTTTAAATTATAATAATTAAGTGTTTATACCAAAATAAATAATACTCGTAATAAAACTTAATCTAAATAAAATAAAATATAAATTAATTTTATTTATTGATATATATATATATATATATATTTGATATATATATATATTTGATATATATATATATATATTTGATATATATATATATATTAATTTGATATTTTAAGAAAAAAAGTGAAATTTTAAATTATTTGATATATTTAAATTATATATTTATTTATAGAATGAAGACAACATTACATAAGAAACATGGTTCACACAGTGTAAACAAATCATTATATATCAGGTATAGATATTAAATAAGAAAAAAAAAGTTACACCATGACTACAAATAATTATTTTACTTAAAAAAGAAAAAAGAAAGTAAAAGTGTGAGAATTTTTGCATATCATAAAATTTACAATCAAAGATTTAGCAAGATAATGATATAATAATAAGAAATAAATAATAATTAATCCACAAACAAACAAAAAAAAAGTAAAAAAGGAGTGAAAATCTTATATATCATTCTTTAACTTTTTTTACTAAAATAATATTATTATATTATATATATACAGTATTTCTCGTAAATTGTTTACTTAACTAATTTCTTATAAAAATATTTATTTAACTGAACCTCTTTTATTGTTGTACTTGAAATTCAGTTTTTTGTAAACCTAATTCTAACTTTAAACTTACCACTTTTTTTTAAATAAAATATTAAATAAAATATATAATTAAAAAAAATATTAAAAATAAATTTTTATTTTTAAAATTTAAATAATATTTATATAAAAAATAATAAAAATAATATATTATTTAAATATATATTAAAGTATTTAAATATATATTAAAGTATTTAAATATATTTAAATAATTATTAAAAATATTAAATGATAATTTTTTATTATATTATTAGATATTTTTTATTTATTTTTGAATAGGAAATTTAAAATTTATATTTTTTTATTATATGAATTATTTAAGTTATAATTTTAGAAAAAAATAGAATAACTACAAATTTAATTTAGGTAATATATTATAAAATTAAATATTATATTATAAAAAATTATGTAATAGTTTTTATTTGATAAATTATAAATATTATATTAAAAAATTCATGCTAAATTTAATTTTTTTAAATAATAAAGTAAAAATATTATTTAATTAGTTAAAAAATATTATTATTATTAGTATAAAATAAACTTAAAAATAAAAATAATAAAAAATGACAGAATTTAATGTATAATATTAAAAATAACATAATCATTAGTAATAAAAATTGAAAAATAAAATTATTGACAATAATGTTAAGAAATTTTTAATCTTCAAAGTGATGTCCAATTCTACAACGAAGTACGACGTCTATTACGTTTTGAATTTCGTCTGTGTGGTTGTTCTTGACATCACTTTGAAGATTAAAATTTTCTTAACATTATTGTCAATAATTTTATTTTTTAATTTTTATTATCAATGATTATGTTATTTTTAATATTATACATTAAATTCTTTCAATTTTTATTATTTTTTATTTTTAAGTTTATTTTATATTAATAATAATAATTTGTAACTAATTAAATAATATTTTTACTTTATTATTTTAAAAAAATTAATTTTAGCATGAATTTTTTAATATAATATTTTAAATTTATCAAATAAAAACTATTACATAAAATTTTATAATATAATATTTAATTTTTTTAATATATTACCTAAATTAAATTTGTATTTATTCTATTTTTTCTAAAATCATAACTTAAATAATTCATATAATAAAAAAATATATAAATTTTAAATTTCCTATTCAAAAATAAAAATATAAAATATAATAAAAAATTATTATTTAATATTTGTAATAATTATTTAAATATATTTAAATAATTTAATATATATTTAAATAATATATTATTTTTATTATTTTTTATCTAAATATTATTTAAATTTTAAAATTATAATTTATTTTTAATATTAATTTTATTATTTTTAATTATATATTTTATTTAATTTTTTATTTTAAAAAATGGTAAGTTTAAATTTAAAATTTGGTTTACGCGAAACTTAATTCTAAGTACAACAAGTAAAAAATGTTTAATTAAGTAAATAATTTTATCGAGAGATTCAATTAAGTAAATAATGTTTATAGAGATTCTGTTACGTATATATATAATATAATAATATTATTTTAGTAAATATATAATATAATAATATTATTTTAGTAAAAATGTCTAATAAAAACAATATAATTAAAAAATCCACCTTAAATATCGCAGATGATATATATATATATATATATATATATATATATATATATATATATATATATATATATATATATATATATGATCATAACAAATTATAGAATGAAAATTATAAAACTAAATATTAAGTATATAAGTGTATAATAATAATAATGAAAAAATGTGAGAAGTGTGTGTAATAATAAAGTCATTTTTAAAATTATTATCTTACCCATATTAAAAAAATGCATATTCATAATTATTAAATATATTATAATAAAATCTAATGCATTGTAAAAAATAATAAAAAAACATTAAATTAAATATATAATAATAAAGAATTATTGTCATCAATAATTAACTCGATTATTGAATATAATAATAATAAAATAAAATAAAAACTATAATCCTTTTCAATTTAGTGAGAACAAGATGAAATCTCAACATTTAGTTAGTTTTAAGGTAACAGAGTGAGAGAGAATTGAAGCGAAACTGGAGAGAAATGTCGACGGAAGCAAAAGCATCGTCGGATTCAGATTCCTTCAAACCGTACACCCTTTCCCAAACCCTAACTGGACATAAGCGCGCCATCTCCGCCGTCAAATTCTCCTCCAACGGCCGCCTCCTTGCCTCCTCCTCCGCCGATAAGACTCTCCGCACCTACGGCTTCACCAACTCCGACTCCGACTCTGACAGCCTATCTCTCTCCCCGATGCAGGAGTACTCGGGGCACGAGCAGGGCGTGTCGGACCTCGCCTTCTCCTCTGACTCCCGCTTCCTGGTCTCCGCGTCCGACGACAAGACCCTCCGCCTCTGGGACGTGCCGACAGGTTCGCTTATAAAGACGCTGCAGGGCCACACCAACTACGTCTTCTGCGTCAACTTCAACCCTCAGTCCAACGTCATCGTCTCCGGCTCCTTCGACGAGACCGTTAGGGTTTGGGACGTCAAGTCCGGCAAGTGCCTCAAGGTCCTCCCCGCCCACTCTGACCCCGTCACCGCCGTAGACTTCAACCGCGATGGCACCCTCATCGTCTCCAGCAGCTACGACGGCCTCTGCCGAATCTGGGATGCCTCCACCGGCCACTGCGTCAAGACCCTCATCGACGACGAGAACCCTCCCGTCTCCTTTGTCAAGTTTTCCCCCAACGCCAAGTTCATCCTCGTTGGCACCCTGGACAACACTCTCGTAATTCCTCGTTACCTTCTCTCTTCTTAATTCATTTCAAAACAGCCCATGTTTGGATAAGTTTAGGTACATTTTTCTGCAAGCACTTTAGGTGGTGGAGGAGGAGCTTGTAAGGGAAATGAATTAATATTTTTTTATGCGGTAAAATTAGTTTCTTCTCAAGCTAATTTATAATTACATTTTCCAAAGAAGTAACTTATGGGAATTGCTTCCATTGAAGATGATCTTAATTCATTTCAGTTTTGTATTTTGTTCTTCTGCACGTACTTGCTGATAAATTTATGGAACCAAGTTTTGTATTTTGTTCATTTCAGTTTTGTATTTTCAGTTTTCATGCGTTTTGCTTGTGTTACGAATGTGTCTTCAAATTGAGAAGTTGCTTTGCACTTGTATTGAAATTTCAATTTCAATGTTTGGTCTTGGACTTGAACCAAGTTTTTATTGCCTAGTGTCTTAGCTGAACCCGTGGAAATGGCAGACTTACGATATTATGGATCGAGGAATCACGATTATGTGATTCTCTGAATAGTGAATGTACTTATGAGCTTCATTGGAAATTATTTTCTTTTGAGTTTTGAAAAACTGTACTTAGATTTTTGGATCTCTGACTGTATAAATATGAAGAGAAGAAACAAGTGAGATGAATTGCTATTCCAAGATAGGTTGCTCTAAAGTGTAAAAAAGCAAAAGTGATTGCATTTTCATGTTCAGCTGCGCTAAAGTGTAGGACTATGTATTGTTTTACATTCAGCTCCTTGAGTGTTGGTTTGTCTTGCTAAACTCGGTAATATTTGCTGACTCATGTTTAGCTTCAAACCAAGTTTCACATGAAAGCTACATCACGTTGCTTTTTAAACTTAAGTTTGCACAATGAAGTTCATTCAAACTTATGTTTGCAAACATTAGACCAAACATGCACTAAACCTTTATTTTTTACTATTTCGAGTTACAAAATTCTCATTTTAATTTTTAGTTTGTAAAATGTCATTCATTTTTATTTCCGCGCTTATTTTGCAGTAAAATGTGAATGACAATTATTTTATAATTAGGGACTAAATGAGGATTTTGTAATATTAGAAACTGAAGTGACTAACATACAATTTCATGAAATATAACGTTTTATTGATTTCTCTGATGGGCTTTAATTTGTGCAATGTAATCGCACATGGCTAATTTGATTTTTATTTTTTTTTCATCTTATTATTCACTCAGTTGTAGTTGATTTGGTAGCTTATGGGCTATAAGTTCTCTTCAAGCTTCACCATTACATGTTTTGGTTTATCTTACCTGGGAATTTTTCTTTTCCTGCAGAGGCTCTGGAACTATTCAACTGGGAAGTTTCTGAAGACTTACACCGGTCACGTTAATTCCAAATTCTGCATTTCATCCACTTTTTCTATAACAAATGGAAAGTATGTTGTTGGTGGTTCAGAAGATAACTGTATATACTTGTGGGAACTGCAGTCAAGGAAAATAGTACAGAAATTAGAAGGCCATTCTGATACTGTTGTTTCTGTGTCATGTCACCCCACAGAGAACATGATTGCTTCTGGTGCACTTGGCAATGACAAAACTGTTAAGATATGGACTCAGCAAAAAGACTGATTCAATTTTGGAACAAATGGGCAGTCAAAGTAGTTGTGGTAAGTGACTTGTGATATGAGAACTTTGGTTGAGAAACTCTATACCTTTCCCATTAGAGAACACCATTTTAGGCTCAGGTCGGTTCCACCACTTTTGAGAGTCTGGAACATGTGTTTGGGAACACAATATTTTCAACCTTGTATCTTAGCTAGCGGGTTTTGCTATTTAACGATTGTGATTAGTCATTTTACAACTTAGCTTTCGCTTTTCAATTACTGTCATTAGTCATTATTACAAGTTCCAAAATCCCCCGACATCTTTTCGGTTAATATGTGAAAAGATGAATTTTAAAGACTAAAATGATGAAGTTCAATATCTATAAAGACGTAGATTTGAAATTCCATGATTCTGGTCTGTAGGCTTTGATTAATCCTATGTTACTTCTTACTGAACTGATGCTTACATGAAACCGAGATGGACAAGACAATCTCCAACTTGAATACACGAGATAGTAGACTGAGATAGTGAATTTGGGTGGTTTCTTATATTGTTGCGTTAATTCAATAACAACAAATCCAGAAGAGTATCTGGCCCCAATTGCGAGACAAGGGATATGTGTGAAACGACAGTATAAAATTATATTTTCTATTAAATAATTTATTGGTGTTATGAAAAAAATTATATTTACTCACTTAAAAACAAGTGGGATAAAATCGAAAAAGAAAATAAAAGATAATGTAATAAATTTAGCTAAAATAAAATTGGACACAAGTGCAGATAAATAGGTTACGTTTTATTGGAATAGCTAACTGATTCTAATGTGTTTGTATGATGTAAATTTATTTTAAATGTGGTTTACATAAAAAAACGTATTTTAATTGGTTTTTATTCTACTTTTTCTCAACAAAACTATTTATTATTTTCTTATCCTATAAAAATGATTAATTTTGCAAGTAATTTTTAAAGAGGGACAATTTCCCTCTCATTTTCTCATTCCATGCAAATACTGAAAGAATTAGTTTGAAGTTTCACATAAATAGTACATCTTATTTTCGTTTGAGACACAAGGTTGAATTTTGAAATTTGTGTTGTTTTTACGACAGAAACAAAACCCAAGCTAATTCATTAATGATAATGATTAAATAGATGAAAAATTCATGAATGAAAAGAGATTGAAAAGATGAAGTTACATATATAGTAAAAAAGAGTGACATAATAACATGAAGATGTGATATTTCTACCTTATTGCCTCCTTTACAATTGTTTCCATTCCGTTAAAATACAAACAAAACAGACATAACATAACTGTTTGTTGACATGCTCTTGTTGTCTTTTTTTTGTGTCAATCTTTGGATAAATTTTCAATGTATATATTGTAGAATAACATTATATAATAATTATTAAATATAAAATTAATTAGGCTCACTAAACAATAAAATTGAAGAGTATCAAAAACCATTTTTTTCTCTCACTCAAAAACCAACAACATTTTCCTCTGCTCCTCAAAAGTATTAATTGTATTTATAAAAATGATTAAATACCAAAACCATGAAAAGTTCAACATAACAATAGTATTTTAGTGAAAATGAGTAATTAGGAATACTTAAATTGAATGATGATGATAAAACATTCACATGCGTTTTGTTCGTTGGATATAAAACATAAGTAGGTCCCACCAGATTAAGATTAAACATGCAAAATCTTCTCTATTATTACAACCAAATCATTTTTGTATGTGAAAACATTAATTTAGAAGTTGTTTGATATTACATAAAATGTTTTAATTACTAATGTCAATATATATTAAAATTTATTTAATAATTGATTAAATTTACTTCATAAAAACAGAAAATTGAAATCAGATTTTAAAAACTAAAAAATAAAAACAAATTTTTAAAAATTAGTCATCAAACAAAATTTTAACTAAAATTAAAAATTAATAAAATAATAAATAAACATGGCGTTAGTTGTATCTCTACCAAAAAGTCGATTTTTTTTATATATATATTTCCTTATTTACTTAAAAATATTGCTAATTTTATTGGCACAACATGGACCATTGATGCAAACGTAATTCTTTAGTCCTAGAATGCTAACATAATTTCACACTATAACTAAGTTATAATTTTTATATTTCTTGGAAAGTCCATAATTTTTTTATATTTTTGTAGGATGAATAACATAATTTCTTTTATTCAATCCCAAATAATCCTACGATCATTATAATTTTTTCAGTTTAAAAAAATTAGTATATAAGGACTTCTACAGAGAAAATTGAAACAATTAATTCCTGTAACCAAACTAATAAAATATTCCTTAAGGTTTACCAAATTTATTTCTTTTTTTTACTTATCTAATCATATATCAAAAATTAAAAAGTAATATATTAATTTTGAGAACAATATTAGATAAATTGAATAAAGGGTCCAAATTAATTACAGTAACTATGGGTTAGACAATAGTTATTGAATAAAATTAGGGATAAATTAAACCTTTATATCGATCTCTAATACCTAATAATACAAATACATTTTTTTCCTTAAATTAAAAAAATGTCTTAACATCATCAGAAAATTATTTTACTATCTTTTAACTCTGATCCTTTATGTAAGTAATTAATTTTAATTAATAAATAAAATAATCTGATTGGTTTAATTGCTTATTTTTTACATGAAGACTAAATTGAATTTTTATTATAATAGAATAGTCACACGTGGAGATGTAATTTATGAATTTTTTAGAGACGGAATGGGTTGAAGCGGTCAGATGATAACGGTCTCTTGCTGTACACTTTCAAACCAAATTATTGACTTTTTCTTTTTCAAATACAACTTTTAAAAACTCACATCATGACACATATTTCTTGTCAAAACAATTTTTTAAGTATAATTTGTATTATCATTTTGAATTCTAATATAATTTATTTTTTTATAAATATTAAAATAAACTAAAAATATGAATGTGATTCTAAATATAAAAAAAATAAAAATTGATAATTATGAAAATAAAATAATTATTATTTAAAATTAATATGACCAAAAAATAAAAATAAAAATATATTATATTTTAATAAAAATATTTTAAAGAAAACTTTTTGTTATTAAAACTAAATTAACCTAAAAAGTCAATGAATTGTTTGATTAAGTAAGTTGGAGAAAGACAAAAAGATTGTTATAAAGGAAAACCAAGTAAATCTAATAACAAGCTACATTATCATTTTTAATTCAAATTCTTAAAACATTAATTTATAATTAGATTTTTAATAAAATTACATTATTTGTGTATAAATTTTTAAAGTAAAACGGATTAGACTGGTTGGTTTGAAAATATTGGTAGAAATATTATAAAGAAACAAAATATGATTTTTGTACTTGATATGAATTTAGCCATAATAGTTTTGATTGATGCAGAAACTATTTTGAATATTGGGTTATTAGAGTGGTCCTCTTAAGTTAATCATAATTGATTGTTAATATAAACAAAAAATTAGAGAGAAGGTAAGTGTGGTTTATGAGATGAGAATGAGGTTAATAAAGATGGTGTATGAATGGATAATATATATTAAATTGTGGTGATGAGGTGGTAGCTGATGATGATTCACCTGTGTTGTTCATGATTGTCAGTAGAGTTTGTGTTGCTTTGCCCTTTTAGCTCCTTAACTTTATCAAAAATAATAATCATTTTATTATTATATTTATATACAGTTTTAAATAGGAGAGAGAAGATTCAAATTATGGATTTGGTTTTGAGGGGAGGGGTAGTTTGGTAAATGGGGAAGAGGTCGTGAATTGAAATAAGAGTGAGATGGGCATAGACATATCAGTGTATGGCAGTGCAGTGGTCCCAACCCATGCTCTCATCTCACCCTTCTCTACTCATTCTATCACTGATTCACTGCAACCTCACCAACACTTATATAATATATTTTTTTTCTTAGATATTAATATTAAGGGAAATATAAATTTTTATAAGTTAATAATTCTTTCTATTCAACAAACACGTCATTCTATAGAATCTTCCTTGTAACTTATACACAACTTTGATCTTTCACATTAGTGATTTTTATGAATGTGCATCATCTTAGGATCACATAGGTTTATACTCCACCTCTAGAAACCGTGTGAATCTAATCCCATATCCATGAATCCGACAATTCCTCAATCTGAATGCATATATCAAAGAGCATGACATGTATATCACTACATCTACATAATGTTTTCTCCTCTATTTTGACATTTTGATATGTTCATGCAATTGATATGTACATAAAGTCTTTTTCAGGTATTAATTTTAATATTTATCTAACAAGAACATCTGTAAAAAATTTTTTATCACCCTTAATTTAAAATTATGAATTACTTTGTTTTAGAACATCAATAAATATACTGTTATGACCTAACGTGGTAAAAAAAAACAGAGTTTTTTTAATAAATAAAGGACAACAAATTATTATTCATTTTAAAATCCTAATATATCATACTATTATTTTTAAATGGATTAAATATAATATAAATATTTTTTTGAGATATTTTAATTTTTTAGTCAAATAAATTTACATAGTTCATCTCTGTATCTTCTATGAAGATATAATTTTTTATAAATAAAGACAGTACAAAATTTTATTTAGACAAATTAAATTAATATTTTCATTTGAAAAGTACAGACGAAAGTTAAAAAAGAGTTATTTCATGTGACAGTATGAGTAGTTTAACTTTTACAATGGAGTGAATTTAAAAATGGATCACTTAAACATAACGTGTAATGTGGATGTTTCTTAATTTAGTTTAATATAAGATAAAACGCCCACAACAGATATATTAAATTTATAACCATTAAGGATGTTATTAGCAAATTATAAACAAGTTTGAAGAGAAAATCCCGTAAATACTTTTAGAAAAAAAATTGTTTCTATAAACTACATAAGTTTAAATAAGATTAAAAAAAAAACTAATAAAATACATTTTATATAAATTAATGTACACATAATTTAATTTAAACTTAAAAGAAAGAAATAATTTTGTTTTCTCTCGTAAAAATATTTATGAAGAAGATTATTTAGTAAATAAAGTGTGGAACTAGTTAAGCATGTGTAAAATGATAGTAGGGGTAACAAACACTACTACAAATAAGGTTTTCCACGTCGGTTCTGGAAGGCCTTCAACGGCGGTTCAGAACCGACGTTGAAAGTCCTGACTTTCAAATCGAAAATTTTTATTTATTTCCAACCCCTCTCCCCTCTCTCTATTATTCGAACCCAGTACCTTAGTGTTGGAGGCTGATACTCCAACCACTAAACTACTCGAATTTTTTGATAATAACTTACAAATAAATTATATTTATATACAAATAAATATATATCCATGTAAATATATAAATACAAATATATTTATATATTTTGATATATTTATATAATTATATATATTATATGTTGGATGTGAGGGCACGCTCGAAGGTGAAAGTGTGTCGAGTGAGTTTTCAAAATTTGATGTCAAATTTGTGAGCGAGTCTCTTTATATGGGTTTGTAATTTAATGACAGAATATAATATTTATAATTTATTAATGATATAAAATAAATATGAGAAACGCATCATTCGCTCAAGCGAGGCTTGAACGAGTGAATTTCCGTGAGTTTTAACGTATTTTCACTCAAGCGAGAGTCAATCTCACTTTCACCCTTGAACGCGCCTTCACATCCAACATATAAATATATAACTATATAACTATATAAATATATATAAATATATCAAAATATATAAATATATTTGTATTTATATATTCTATATTTATATATTTACACGAATATATATTTATATGTATATAAATATAATTTATTTGTAAATTATTATAAAAAAATTATAGTAGTTTAGTGGTTGAAGTATCAATTTTCAACTCTAAAATACTCGGGTTCAAAAATCTCGTTAGTGACAATTCTCTAACTTAAGTAAATTTTTGGCTGAAAAAAAATAAAAACACTTTCCAAAAAATATATATATTTACACGGATATATATTTATTTATATATAAATATAATTAATTTGTAAGTTATTATCAGAAAATTACAGTAGTTTAGTGGTTGGAGTATCAACTTTTAACTCTAAAATATCGGGTTCGAATCTTGTCGATGACAATTCTCAAACTTAAGTAAATTTTTGGCTGAAAAAAATAAAAACACTTTCCAGAAAATATATATAAATAAATATATATTTACACGGATATATATTTATTTGTATATAAATATAGTTAATTTTTAAGTTATTATCGTAAAATTACGATAGTTTAGTGGTTGGAGTATCAACTTTCAACTCTAAAATACTCGGGTTTGAATCCTGTCAGTGACAATTATTGAAATTAAGAGAATTTTTGGGTAAAAATACATTCAACGCTCGGCTCATCTGGGAACCGTTGAATGTCTAAATTAAAAGACTTTCAACGTCGGTTCATCTAGAACCGACGTGAAAAGTGCTTTCTACGTCGGTTGACTAAGAACCGACGTAGAATGTGTCTAACATTCCACTTTCAACGTCGTTTTTTAACCAACTGACGTTGAAAGTGTATTTAACGTCGGCTCTAGATGAACCAACGTTAAATGGCGACGTTGAAAGTATATTTTGTAGTAGTGAAAATTATAATAATGAAAATAAAAAGAGGAATGTTTGTAACTTGTTATTGACTAAAATTTATTATAATGAAATTTTTTAATGAAAGTTTAAAGTTAAGAGAGAGACTTTTTAAATAAGAAATTAGACTTATAAAAAACTATAGCTTTAAATAAATTCAGCCCAATAATAAAGTTTAAGAGAGTAGTGGTAGCATTTAGTATAAACATGAGTGACGTATAATAATGAAACACATTTAAGATACACTAAAGATGTATAAAAGGAAATATTAGATTGAAGGTGACCTAAGTGTGCATAAAATTTAAACTCATTGTTATTTACTCAAAAAGATTATAATTTATATAGTAACTGATTATATAGAATAATAAAATTCATATGAAAGCTTTAAGTTGAGTACAAAAAAAAAAATGTTGAAGATGAAGTTGGGGAATGTGCGTGAGAGTTGAGTAATGGAAATGGCAAAGCAAAAACCAGGTTTCGTAGGTGAAAAAACATGAAAATCTCTCACTCACTAAACCTTAACCAAAACCTAAACCTAAACCTAACGTAGTCCACACAACATAAGAAGAACCAATTGACGCAGGAGGATCTCCTCGTCTGCGTGCCCTGTATCCACTACCATATATATGCATCTATGATTGGAATCTTTAATGCCACGTGTCACTATCTCTTCACACGCGCCTCATGCGCGTGAGGTGCACTCCTTCCACCCCACTCTGTCCTTGGACGGACCAGAACATAACCTCACTTTCTCTCTCCAAAACAAAAAACTCTGATTTTAATATTAATAATAATAATTATTATTATTATTATAATAATATTAATTTCTGATATATCTTTTTCCCTATATATCAGCAAGAGCCAAGGGACCGAAGCAGAGAACGACTTGGGTTTAGTTTTTAGCTTGTTTTTTCACTTTTATTTTTCTCGTGCAATTTTTCTTCTCTTCTCTTCTCTCTCTTTCTCCAATTTAACCTTCGTAGTGGCCATGAAAGCTCTTCCTCTTTGACGCAGGTACCACTCTTTCTCTCTTCATATGCACATCTTTGTATGTAATATATATGTGTACGGAGAGAGAGAGAGAGAAGATTTAGTTATGCTGTTATTATTATTATTTTGTTCATCAACAACTATGTCTTGTTCACGTTTTCTTTATTTCCAATCTGCTACTTCGCCAATCGCTGTGTAACCATCACGACCCATTTTCGCAGCTTCGCTTCTTTATGTGGCTCTCGCTCGCTTCTTCCTCTTCTTCTCCTTCCATGGAGGTAATAACACTGCGAATCTTCTCTTTATTTGTTCTCGTTTCTCTTTTTTTGTTTTCTCTCTTTCGTGGCTGTGCTGCTCGTACGATTTTAATGTACTTGCAGGTGTGTTCTCGTGTTAAATAACTGATTTTCTTGGATCATATTGGAATTCTCGCTGGGAAACTTGTGTGTGTTTGTGTGTGCCTCTGTGCGCGCGCTTGTCTCTTTCTTTCTGCTTTTATTTTCTTCTTCTTTTTTTTAATGTTACATATCTGTGTTTGTGTGTGTTTCATCTTGTGTTGGTGTTCCTTTTTCGTGTTCGAATGTTGTTGGTTTCGTGGAGATTGTGCGGCTTTTAGCATTCGAGAGTAATGTGGTTAGTGGGGTTTTTCATGCATTTCTGTGGAGTCTTCGCCTGCGTTCTCGTTTCATATATATATATATTGGTTCAGGGAACGGATCTGGTTTGTTGATTTGTTCTCGGTTTCTGTTCGGTGCTCCTCTCGCTTTTTTGTTGCCTACTTCTTCATAAACACGTATATCAACTCTTTGTTATGAATTTTTTTGGATGGCAAAGTTTCTTCTCGGGAGTTGATTTGGTTGGTATAGGAATCTTCTTCAACCTCCGTGTTTTATTCTTAAACGTTCCTGTTTAATTTGGGATTCTTACCTGCTAGTTTTGTACATTTTTTTTATGCGAAATTAAATAATAATTATATTCATCATTATATTATATTTTTCTTTTTTTCATTTCTCTAAGTTTTTATTATTTTCCTATTAATTTAAATTTCTCCATTTTTCAATCAATCGTAACTTTTGATAATTGGGGGTTATGACCTGAATATAAATATAAATTGTATCACAGTGCTATTATCCCACTGCTTCTGAAACGGTTTGCTTAACAACAAACTAACCTGGCTAACAAATCTCACTGATGAAATCTTAGGATGCCTATAATTTAGGTTAACTGGGGAACTGGTTATCTGGTTTGACTCTAGCTGTGACTAACGTTAGGTGAACAATTCTCATTACCATTAAATCTCGTCAATATTGGTTAGTTTACTTGCATTTTATTAGGAGAGAATCAAATTAAGCTATCAATTTTGCACAAAGCTGGAGGAAGTTAAGGTACAAACTATATATGTCCATTCTAGCTACTTTGTTTGTGTTGTCCGTTCATTACAAAAACATTGTCAGGTTGACAACATTAAACCTTTGTTTTACAGTGTGAGTGATGTTAATTATAGAAAGAGAAGGGCAAGCTCAGTTAGCCTTAGATTCAACAATTGCTCTACTAGCAACTTCCTTAACAACAAGACACGCATTAGCTTAGATAAGACCAATCTTGACCATCCAATTAAGATCGAATGCTTAATTTTAGTTCCTCTCACCTGATACGCTTCCTATGTGTTTTCTTGTTCTTTTTTTAATTTTTTGAAATGTGTTCAAATTTATGGATAGGTGGATGCTGCACATGTTAATGACATGAATTGTCTTGAGGAGCAAGCCGATGAACAATCACTTTCTCTAGAATATTCTGGTGTTTATGATGTTTTCGGTGAACCGGAAATATTTCCTCGGGTGGGTGAGCAGTTTCAAGTTCAAATTCCCTCTTTAATTTCGAAATCTGAATATTACTGGTTTATAAGGAATCCATACGAGGCAGATAGCACTTCAAGTACTCTCCATAAGTTTCGAGTTGGATTACCCATCCCAATAATTTGGATTAAGGATGAATTTGAGATCAGTAGGCATAATCATCGGCAAAAAAATGCATCCAAGTTGAATGGAGTTACCAATAAAACGGAACCTCCAAAACTAAATTGTATAAAAGAGACCTCTAATTATCTGGATGGTGATAAAGTGAAGCCTAAACTTTGGCCATTTGACACTACATTGGTCAGTGGCATGAAATTGGGAGAATCGAGAGATTCCAATATGCAACAAGAAACAGAGATTGAGATGCGCGAGAAGCATAGTGAGAAAGGTCATTTTTTAGTTCCTGGGTCTGCGAGTGACACCTGGAATGAAATTGAAGAGGCCAGTTTCATCCTTGGCTTGTATATATTTGGGAAGAACCTTGTTCAGGTGAAAAGATTTATTGGCAATAAGAACATGGGAGATATACTGTCATTCTATTATGGAAAATTTTATAAATCTGATAAATATCAAAGATGGTCTGGATGTAGAAAAATGAGAAGCAGAAAATGCATTTATGGCCCCAAAATTTTCACTGGACCAAGGCAACAAGAGCTTTTGTCTCGATTACTACCAACCATATCAGAGGAATGCTACAACAAGTTACTCGAGGTACTACTGAGTTACATTCTTCAGAGTTTATGCTAATATGGTGATTGTTATGATTTGGATCAATTAATCCACCTTAATTAGGCCATGACTCCTCTTTCTCAACCAAGTACAGAACAAAAAAGATAATTTTGAAATGCCAGAGTTTACTGGTGTCAATTGTTTAAAGTCATAATTTCTCTCAATAGAACCTGCAGGGCTTAAACCAAGAGTATTCCTTCTATATATTATAATTAACAGAAAAGTTGTATGTAACAATAATTTTGAGTCCAATTTGAACATAAGAATGCATTACCTTTTCATCGTAGCTTGAGAAGTCTTTTGAATCATGGACCTCATTAGTTATGCAGAACAAAACTGTTATCTTAGCATGTCTACTGCCTTTTAATTCATCTTTTTATTTATCTCAAGGAATGTGTGATGGCTATATTAAATTCAATTACTTGGTAGGTTTCCAAGGCGTTTGTAGAGGGTAAAATGCTTCTTGAAGACTATGTTTTAACTTTAAAGGCCTCAGTTGGGCTCAAAGCTCTTGTTGAGGGAGTAGGTGTTGGTAAGGGGAAAGAAGATCTTACAGGACTCGCTATAGATTCTATGAAATCTACTCAACCACCACCTGTTCGCCAAGAAATACCAGTTGGCAAGGCATGTTCAATGCTTACACCTCCGGAAATAATAAGCTTTCTAACGGGTGATTTCAGGTTAAGCAAAGCTCGAACAAGTGATCTCTTCTGGGAAGCTGTTTGGCCTCGTTTACTTGCCAGAGGTTGGCACTCTGAGCAGCCAGATAGTCATAACTATGCTGTTGCTTCTAAGCATTCTCTGGTCTTCCTTGTCCCTGGAGTTAAAAAGTTTTCGAGGAAACTGGTGAAGGGAAATCACTATTTTGACTCTGTGAGTGATGTCTTGTGTAAAGTTGCTTCTGACCCTGAGCTAATTGAGCTCGGGACAATTGCAGATAATGATTGCACTAGCAAAGAGGGAAATGGTTGGACAAAAGATACAAAACTGGACCGCGAAAATTCCCCGGATCAACCACGCCACTGCTATCTCAAGGTAAAAACGCCAAACCGCAGTACAGATGTCATGAAATTTACTGTTGTGGACACAAGCCTGGCTAGTGAAAAGATAACGAAGGTGAGAGAACTGAGAAGCTTGCCATTTGAAGTTTTAAAAGCTTGTACTTTTGAAAATGACTCGGATAATGAGAACACTTTTGAGGAGCAAAGAAATGAATCCGAGTCTGTCAAGACCATATCCTTTGATAGGAGGAATAATGACATTACTAAAGCCAGTAAATCTAATATTGGTAAGGATGTCTCTTCAATTTTGAATGATTTAGAAAAGAATCTTTCTTCTAAAGAGGAGCTGCCAAGGAGCGGCATGGCTTCAAGTAGCATATCTGCTGCCTCCAAGGGCCAGAAGACAAAATTCTTGTGTAACACACTCAAAAGAGATGGTTTTAATTCCCCATCATTCCAAAGAATGGTATCTGATAACAAAAATGATCTAGTCCCAGTTACAAAAAGACGGAGGCGATTAACTGCATGTAGCCGTGGAAAGAAAAATAGCAACACTGCCAATTTCTTTGTGGTTCCTAGAGGAAAACAAGAGGAGCCTGGGTTTTGTCTGGATATAGACAATGCAAAATCTAGTGCAAGTGTATCTGCAAACTTCTTTGTGGCTTCCAGAGTAGAACAAGAGGAAGTCAGTCTTCACAAGTCAAAATTTACTAAGAGTGTTCTTTCATGGGATATCCCATCCCAAGAGAAAAAGTCATCAGCAGGTTTTACACCCCAGAAAAATAAAACACTAGCAGATTCTCTGTCAAATCCAAGTTCAATCATCCATGGAGAAGCTGTTCCTGACACTAGTTCTTCAGGCGCTAAGGATCAATGTAGTAAACCCCAGCCACGAACTATGATTGACCTTAACTTGCCTGTTTCACCAGAAGTTGAAGTTGATGAACTTTTTGTGAATGAAGTGGTAGCTGAGATGCAGGAAAATAAGACAGCCAAGGAATCAGATGATCTCATTGTTGGAACAAACTCCAAACTTGGCGATCATCCTGAACAACAGCCTGACATACACACCCGGAGGCAGAGCACCAGAAACCGGCCACCAACAACAAAAGTGCTTGAAGCTTTTGCCTTTGGATATCTAGATAGAAAGGAGAAGCGCAGAAGTAGAGATTATCTTCAGGACAGTTCGGTAACAAGACCTTCCGTATCTCGCAAAGTGGGACGCTCTAGTAATGGTGGTACTGGGCTTGAAAAAGAGGTAAAAACCGATGTTGTCTATGATGGTAACTCTGGCAGTGGCTGTAATATACACAGGCTCCAAGTGTAATGAAGTAAAAATGAAACTGAGTTTTCAAACTCGACTCTAGACTCAGGATGTGAATGGCACTTCTTTGAATGCAAACAGTGTTAGTTTGATTACCTGGTCCAATATAGTGAGATGGCAACGCATGACCTGAACAAGATAGCAGCCTTTTCACTGATTGAAGTGGTTCTGCACATATGGATGTTAGATATTAACTTCAAAGGAAGGTTTTTCTTTGCTTAAAACTTTCAAGTCTTTCCAACAGAATGTACAATAAACTACATAGAGAAATCCCTCTGGTCTTCTCAGCTTTGCAATCATTTCTTAGTTGCGGTGGCACTCTTCAATGTCAGACATGGTTTCAGTCAACTCTTGCTGCTGCCCCTGGTATGAACAGAATACACAGTAAGCCAATGCACATTATGACAATAGTTTTTTTTTTTTTTTTTTTTTTTTTTTTTTTAATGTTTAACCTGTCAAATTCTGTCAGATGACAGAATAACGGTAAACGGAGCAGTTGCCCTAGGCTTTTCCCCTGTTTTATGGGGTGTGTCCTCCTAGGTGATGACTCCAAGCATTCGTTATACATGCAGATACGATGTGATTTCACCATTGTTGTTTGGTGGTTGTTTGTAATAATTTACTAGTTCGCTTAGGCAAAACGTCGTTAGTTACACGATGCTTAACTATTTATATTTGCATGGAGAGGGTACTTTAAGAACATCTTCGAGTACTACCATTTTACAACGTCTCCAAGTAAAATTTTGAAGCTTTTATCTGCCACATCACGAATCTTTTACAACGTCTCCATATGACAACAATTTTTAATATAGTTACAAGACCATGAAAAAAAAACAAGATTTAATTCATTTTAAAAACAATTATTAAATTTCAATTTTAACTTTAATTCTTGATTTTATTGAAATAAAATACATGTTTTGAATCCCTATTGTTAATTTTGTTTTTCATATAAATGTAAACAAAATATGCTAAATATTAATATTTGCTAATCAGTTGTTTTATGATGCAAATATAATTATATATACCCAAATTAAAATTTAGTATTTAAAAATATTAATTATCAGAAAAGTTATGAATATTTTGGGATACAAAAGTTGAATTCAAAATATTTGTAACTTTTTTTATTTTTCAAATATGTATACTGTTGTGGGTTGGTAGGTATCAGCCTCTGATCCAGTGAGCTGCAATGTTGTGACAAGACAAAAACAAATATTTTTTTCATTTTTTACTTTTAATTGAAAAACAGCACATGTCAAAATAGTTTCATTTCTTTTAAATATCAATATTCTGTTCCAAATATTATTGCTAGTAATAGAAAGTTTCAAAGTCATTTTTTATAATAATCTCAAAGTTTCGTCTTGTTTTCAACATTTCCAAATTACAAATCGGTTTCAAACATAAATTATCGCAGCCAAATGTTGTTGTCGGTTTCTTGTTTGGATTCCTCCAAATGTTTTTGGGCTACTTCGATACTCTCAAATTAATGCCAACGTGTCCAATAATGAACTCATACACACGTGTCATTCATGCACTAGTCAGTGGCAATTCTTTTATTTCTAGTATAAATACAGTCTACACTTTATTTTTTAATTTCCACATTATTACGTCACATAAAATTAATAAATTACACAATACAAAGTAAATCTTAACATTCTTAGGACTTCTGCCCCTATATATATACACTCTTCAAGGTGGCATACTTGATGAATTCATTTATTTTTATTGAAGTACTGTAAGTGACATACTTGAATGGCACACATATGAGACCATTCATAAAGAGGAAACACCTTCAAGGAGATAAAAAATTTATTTAGAGAGAAAAAAAAAAAGTATTTATAGGAGTTTTACAAGGAACGTTACTAAATGAAAGGAACCACTAAAGTAATGATGACAAAAAGAAGATTCAAAAGACTTGAAGAGAAAATCAATAAAATAACTTAAATAAAAATATGTTGAAAACGTTTAAAGGTTTTTAGTATATTCTAGAATAGGGTAATTAAGTCTCATTAATCAACTTAATTACACATAACTAACTTATTAAAATTTGGTACATGAAAGTTATAATTTCTTTCTTTTCTCTTCCCTGAAATTTTAGACCACCATATGTCTAATGTACTAAGATGAGTTTTTATTTTTATTTTTTTAATCATTTTTGGAAATATCTTGAATATGTTTCTAAAGATATAAATAAAATCACACTTGAGATAGATGAAGTTTGATTATCTCTGTCTTTATTTTTCTTACAAAGGATGGAAAAGTTTTGGATTTAAAGTATGAGTGTATAATTTTTACCTATTATATTATCTACAAGTCGTTTTACCAAATTGGGATAAATTCATTAGAAACGGTTTCTGGTGAAAATTTAATCGATTTCGATTAAATCACAATCTTAGGTTATAACCAAATTTCAACCACGTAGATTCTTTTTATTTAGGCTAGCAAACAAGTTTTCAATCGAAACATGTATGAGAATCGAAAATGTCAGATGAAACATGCACGTATATTAAAACATGGAAAATGTGATATAGCATGCATATCGAAATTGAAATGCTAACAATGCAACCTAACATGCAAATTGACGAATAGAAGATACTATTTTTGATATTTTGTACTAAGAAACCCGAAGGAAAGACGGTAGTGTCGAAATAGAAAGCAGTGCAGAATATTAAATTGCAGAGAGATGTAAATGCAGAAACTCCGAAATTGCATAAATGTAAATGACGAGAATCGAAATTTCAGGAATGTAAATGATGAAACTCAAAATTGCATAATCTTAGATTGCAGTAAATGACAAATAGTCAAAAGTACAGAAACTTAAAAGTTGATAAACGTAAACTGCATGAAGGTAAATTACCAGAGAAAGTAAAGAATGCGATAAAGACAATAAATGAAAATGGAAATCCAGAGCATTAGAAACTTCATGATGCGTCGTTCTCCTGTAGACTTTTCACGTATGTTTCTGTCTTCTCTGCCAATTTTCTCCCTTCCTTTCTTCCAACCTCACTCTATTTATAGAGTTTTCTTAAAGTAACCTCCTAGGAGCAATTAAAAAGTTGTTACCATGTTCTTCAATATACGTCCCTTGATCTTTCGTCTTCGCCTATAGTTTAGAAAAACCGCTTCCACGTTCCAAATGCGCTTTAACTTCGAAAGCCAAGTATGATAACCGTTCCCCTCTATCTCGATTTCAGCCTTTCAATTCTCGATTTTCTTCAGCAATAATCATCGAATCCTCTTCTTTCGATTCTCGATTTTCCATTCTCGATTTTTCACTCTCGATCGATGTTTTCATACTAATACATGATCATCGAATGTCTTCCAACCATCTCTTCGATTTATCAATTTTTAATCAACATATGACCCTTGATTCCCTTCCATCTATTTATCGATCTATATATCGATTTTTCACACCAACAGAAACCCATCATACTTTTTACATTTTAAATTTATCATATTTAAATCATGATTTATATTTATAACTTAATCAATTTTTATATTTTAATTCCTTAAAGTAAATGTTTTATCACTTATCTACGACACTGTATCATTTTAATAGTGTAAAGCTTTACATTTTTTTATTTTTTATTGATATACTAAATTTAGTTTTATTTACTTAAAGTGAAAAAAAAATAACTGAATAAGGGATTCACTCAAATTTAATTTGATAATTTTTTATTATGAAATATTTTCTTTAGTATATAATACTAGGGTTTTTAGTCCAATTAAATAAAGAGAAATGGTAGCATCAATTTATATTAAAGTTTTCTCGTAAATGATTTATTAACATTGATTTAAATCAATGGTACCATCAATTTATATTACAGTTTTCTGTAAATGATTTATTAATATTGATTTAAAATCAATTGTTGCCTAGGCATAACAACGAGGCGAGACGGTTTTTTCCTCCCGATCTCCGCCCTCGACTTTTTTAATCAGTCTTGTTCTAGTCTTCCATCTCCGTCAGGATTAGAAAGTAAGTCTCATTCTCGTTTTTGTTGGGTTTCGAGTTTTCTTGTCCCCATCCCATCCCCATTTCGGATATATATTATTTTTAAAAAGATAATTATATTTTTAATAAATTAATTTTACTATGTATTTTTTATATAAAAATAAATATTTATAATTTTACAATTTATAATAATTATTAATTAAATATATATTTTAATTTATTATATTTATATAAAATATGTATATAAAAGAAATATTTAATAATTATATATATATATATAATATTTATAACATTATTATTATTATTATTATTATTATAACACTATATTCAAATATTTACAACATTATTATTATTATTATTATTATTATTATTATATATTCAAACATTTGATTACATATATAAATTAATTCATTTTTAAGTTGTCATTTAAAAATATGAAATATATAATTTATAAGAAAATATTTAATAAGTTAGTTTTTATTTAATTAGTTCAAAGTAATAAAAGTTTAAATTATCAATTCTTTTTAATCCTTTGAAATATAATTATTTTATTAAGATAAAATTTGATATATGACAAATAAAAATAAGAAGATACAAAATATGACATAATAAAACCTAATAAATATAAATTATAAATAAAATAATATTAGCTCGCTACTAAGATTTATGTAAAATATTTAGAAAAAAATAAATAATAAAAAAATTAACTTTAAACACAGTTCCGAGACTTTTTGTCTAGACCAAAAAAGAATGTCCAATTAATAGTTGACACTTATAGTCTTCCTCTTATCCTTATGGTCAAACCTCTCTCAGATAAAGCCAAAACTGTCAAAATTTATCCACCCGGTTTAAACCCAACCACACCAGCTGATTATTTTTACATGAAACCCTCAGATACAAAGTAATTTCAGCCTCATCGTTCAATCCTGATATTCCCTTTGGAGGAATTTTTGAACTATTCTGTGAACCTGGTTGGGACCTTTGTGAGCCTACCCTTTGGACCATTTGGTGCGATACAGTTCAATACTCCATTCCTATTGCATTAAAGGCTCAAACAGCTTACAATATTTTGACACATCCGTATAAAGACAAATTCCTTTTTTGGACATTGCTCGAATGGTTTTCTCCAATACCCTGGTGGAGACAACAGCTTAAGGAGATCATAGACCGTCAAAAGCGAAAGGAGTTACCGAAGACTCTCTCAAGAATTTGACATCTATCTTCATCATCCACCGTCCATACTTCATGAATCCAGCTGGAACCCTTTGGTCAAAAAATGAAGCTTACCTATGGGCTAGCTTTGACACCTATCCACTTGATAACAGATTACCAGTGCACAACCTGGCGCATCACCTTTGTGAAATAAATCATTAAGTTGGTTGAAAAGATTAAAAAAATAATTGGAATGATTAAAAAAATATGAAAAACTGAAAGGTAAGAGAAAATAATGTAATACATTAATTGATATAAAAGATTAAAAAAATATATATAAAAAATGGATAGAAGAAAAGTAAAAATAATGAAATATAAAAAAAATGACATTATGTGAAATAGAAAAAGAAAAGGAAATATTTTTAAAATATTAATATTTTAAAATTTAAATTTAAGTATAAAGTCGGGTGGGGCGGAATGGAGATTGCATGACTTTTTAAAACGGAAAAAACTCGAACTCGAACCCATCCTCGGTCAACTCGAAGTTTTTCTAGTCAAACTCGGGACGAAGACGGATCAATCCCCACATACATGAGTTTAATTGTTATTCCTATTGCTAACACTCCTCATAAATAAAAATAATAAATAAAAGTAATAGACTAACAATGTTTGATTAGATAAAAAAGGAATTTTAATAATTTTGTTGTTTGGTTTAAAATTTCGAGAAAGAAATAGGAGACTAAAACTGCTTTAAAATATTTTTTTTGAAAGGAAATAAACTTAATATTATCCTCAACTTAACAATGTTATTTTCATAATTTTAAGTATTACAGTAACAACTTTGGTTATTATTCCAGCGTTCAGAAGAATGTGGAAGAATCCGAAGCTGACAAGACACCAATAAGGAAGCAGGCGGAAAGAGAGTCGTGTGTGTATCCACCATCAATGCACCAACTTTAACTATCTTAATTTCAATAGTAATTGCATAATCTATTTCATGACATCGTGAATAGACAAGATAGGTTAAGATATAATCCCCTCTAACCAATGAAACAAAAAGACACTATGATTGTTTTTGACAGCCAGAAGATTAATCCTGCAACTGCAGTTCAAACATGTGATCAATGATCTAACAAGGAGGGGCCCTTTCTTTTTCAAATGAATAGAATAGGACGAGATTTCGCGTGAAAATTTATAATTCGAATCTTTAGGCTTGCAAAATGACGAGCTCGGTACATTATCAGGGTACAAAAAGGACAAATTTGAGGATACGCAACTTTTGTCCAATAAAAGAATGCAGAAGAATCTGCACTGTACAGTCTGATAACCTCAAGCACAAAAGATGTCCATTAACTATGACCCAATTTTACTACAATACCAAAAATAGGTTGAATCAAAACACAATTCGATCCTAGACAGCCTTTGCACCATCTCGGAAATATACATTTGGAATTCGAAATCAGACGTGGACATCAACATTCCATCTCAAGGAAGTTCAATCTTATCAACTACAACTATCATTGAAATAAATTTGCATAACCCCTCACACTTCCTTCCTATACTACGAGGGAATCAATTTGTATTTTGAAAAAGAATATATCTGTGAAGAAAAAGTGGGGAAAAGTCAACTAAAAGTGGACTCTAGCCAATCTGCTGTAAATTCATAAGCAACAAAGGTAACAGCACCAGCAGGTGCAGCTTTAATAGTTGATGGGATTATCCCCTTGTACAAACCAGCCCAACCCTCTAGTCGCAGTATCCGTCGCATGGCATCTAACATATTCCTGTATGCAAGATGCTCAACTCGAGCTCCATATCTTGGATGCCTTTGAAGCCCTTCAATCTGTAGCAACAAAGAATGAAGATCCATGATTACAGATGACAAGGAGAGATAAACATTATAATCTCTGTACTAATATTTACTATGCGCAGAAGTTCACCTGAAATCTTTTCTTGACAACATCAAGTGGATGACAGACAAGTTTGGCACATGTTCCAGCTGCCAACCCACAAAGGAAAAGCTGAAAGCTAGAGAGGTTGTCTTCTACGGTGGTGTTGGAATATCTATGATTCCAAGCCTACAATTTCACACATACAATACACGATATGTTAACAGGAACAAACACTAGTGTCAAGCAAACTATACTAATAATTCAAAGTTCACAAATTCACTCTTCATTTTCTCTTCAGCTAATAATTCAACGACTTAATCCACAGTACAATCAAAATGCCAACCTAGCAAACGATCTGAGGTGTGAACACCACTAATTCCTCATATTAAAAATTGAAAACGAATTCTTTTTTGGACTCAATTGAAAACTGTGCAGCAGCATTATTAGTGTAAATAATTCATCCAAGCATAGTGATAGACATGTAATGGCAATGGTAGTTCATATGCAGAGTCCACACTGATAACCAATGCCACAGGTAAAACGAGGATAAAAAACTAAATGAATATTAAATAGGAAACTGAAAAAAGTGAGGCCCATATAGAGCAATAGCCACAACTTCATCAGCATCGCCTTCCACCACGAAGACTATAAAATGAAGGCATAATAATACACAAAGCAAAGTAAGCTGAATCGTGCAGGGTCCAAGGGCACCCACAATCTCACAACACTAGAGTTGAACAATAAACTAAGTATAATGTCCAAAGCATGTAGATCATAATCATGTGAACAAATAAAAAATGAGTTTTAAGTAGGACTTAAATTCTACCATGGCCCATCGCTTAAATGTATCATACGTGCCAAATTGTAGGCCTGCATAAGGTATAATCTCCACTAGAGTAGGGGATAATCCAGAATACAAGCCTTGGAATCCCCGAGTGCGGACAATATCCATGAATGCTGATCTCATGGTTGGATAAACCTATGTCAAGATATTTGCAAAAGACTTGTTACAAAAAAATAGCTCAAAAAGGACCAAAAGAAGATCATTATTTCCACACAATGCAAAACAGAATAGCATAAAAAGCATAAGCATGAGGAGTTAATGAAATCATTAATGAAGATATCATGTCTACCAACAGTACTCAAAGGACCCCCACATTGTTGATACTCAGCTGTAAAATCCTTAAACTGGAAACATAAGCAACATATGTTTTCTAGTACTACAGAGATAATGTTTAATACGCCACATACAAGCCTAGTATACCATGGATTGGTACGTCAGTCCATTTCCAACCAAGAGTGACAAATAAACCTATATATGGAAATAGCCAGGAGAAAAAAAAAATAAATACCTACTTAAAAATTGTAAACCCCAATCTCTTGAGGAATATCAGATTTGTTTCTCTCCAATGTGGAGGGCATAAAGGTTGGTGTCACCATAAGGCAATTGAACAATAATGTATTTTAGAGGTATAGCATAACTTTGAAGTGGACACAAGTCAAACATGATAGGATCTGATTTGGTGATAGAGCTAATTAGACAATAGGATAAGAAAAGGAAGTATCCTCTCCCTTACAAAAGGCAAAAGGAACAGAAAATATAAAAAATGATGTCAGAGTAAAACATTCAAGCAAAGATTGAGGTATAGATACATCTTGATGATGGAGAAGAGAAACGCCCAAAGTTTAAGAACTAGAGGAATGTATTTAAAAGCAGACCAGTAATTTGCTTCACTCCAAAGAACACTAATAAACATTATATAAATTTACTTTGAAACTGTTTTGCAACCTTAAAACTAGTAATGCTTATACCTTTGGCTCCCCTTGAGAAGCTAATATGGTTCGGATAAGATCAAAGGGATATGAACCGACAGTAGCTGCACACCCAGCTAATGCCCCACTGACATAGGATAGATAAGGGCTCAAATTAATGTGATTCTCTGCAGAAACAAAAAGCAATCAATTAACAAACAAAAACAATAAAGATTAAGGACATATTTTAGAAAGAAAGAATTATATTTTTCTTAAGTTTGCAGGGTGAATGGCTATAGCTTTTGGCTAGCATATTCAGTGACACACTACAGACAGCACCCTCCTCCCCGAGCGAGCCTTGTTCAAAATAAATTGGTCAAAAGGTATTTACCAAAATACTGTGATGAATTTGAAGAGCTATTGAACCTTATAGCCAGAAACCATTTTATAAAAGTCCACTTAAGTCTAAAAAAAATTGTTAAATAAAAACATGCCTTATAAAACAATTTTATACTGACATCCAAACACAAACTATTATGCATGGTAAGGTTATTGATTTTTATAACAGTTTCCTAAGAAGCCATATCAAGAATGATTTCTCATTGGTCGAGAATCTGAACAGTTTAACATTACCGCTATAATCTAAAAAGGAAATTGTATTAATGAAAACAAAGGAGGGAGACCCTGAATAACAAAATAGAGCACCTGTCTTGGAAGAGCCAGAGGCAAAAGTTTTCAACTTGTGTAAAACTGTAAATTGTATAGCAGTATATGGCATAACCATGAGCAATGCCGGGACATTTCCTCGCCAAAATCCCTGGATATAGGGTAATAGAAAAAAAAAATATTAGCCGCAAAAAAAAAAAAAAATACACACACAATGTCAAACTCAAAAGGGTAAAAAGAACAGGGGTTTATATATTGGTTCCTCTACCTGAACGCCTTCTTCTCTAAGAATATCCTTGGTTGCTTGAAACATGCCAGTATATTTCGATGCTGCAGCCAAATCCTTGCGTAGTAACGCCCATGAAGATGTGGGCTCCAGTTGAACCTGTTATTTTATGTTTGAACATGAATAACACCACATATTAAAAAGATTCAACCCAAAAACATCAAACAAACACAACATACCTGGAATCGAATCTTAATAACATCGAGGGGCGAGGTAACAGTCCGTGATATTCCACCAGAAATTGCCCCAGCCGAGGAATCAATCACGGCTCGCCTCAGTTTGCTCGGTTCCTCCATTGCCGCAAATATTCTCCTCCGTTTATGGGCTATAACCTGCAACCGCGAATGAAATTAGGGTTCCTGAAAATTGGGGAAAAGTCTAGCTTGAAAACTAGGATCTAGGATCTGTGGGTGTGGAGAGAAAGGGAAAGGGACCTCTGGAAGACGGAGAAGGAGGCAATGGAGAAGAGAGCTGACATCGGAGTCCAGAGAGAGAAGAAGAGAGAGAAACTGGGAAGAGAAGAAACAACTTTCCAATCTGATTGAGTCAGCTTTAGAGAAGAAAAGAGAAGACACCCGCACTTTATTTATCCATCCAAACAAATGAATAGCATGATCATTGCATTCATCAGAATCAAATTTTGTTTTTCAATCGAACCAAGAAATTGTAGGCTACCATAACAATACAATACTCGCCTTTGTTGCAACTCCGAAAGAGATTCCCCTGTTTTCTACTGCATTTTGATAATTTATCTTTATTCCAACAATTTTTTAAATAATTAATTTTTATGGATCAAATAAATAGTTGTTGATAGTTTTTATTTATATAAATCTGCATAAAATATTGCATGATAAACAAACTAAAAAATTTAAGACTTGCGTCATCTGTCATTCCTTACCTAATTTTGGTGATGAATTTTTATGAGAAATATAATTTAGTAAAAATCATATATTTATTCTGTCACTTTGTGTTTATAATATTTTTATCAGCAACATATTGTTTGATAATGTCATAAAAGTCACAAGATTATTAATGTTTTTACATTTTATTAGTCAACATTTTTAATTGATAGTAAAAGCTAAAACAACAGTTGATAAGAAACTATAAAAATAAGAAGTGCAATAGGTTTGAATTCAGAATCAAATAAAATTCAACCAAAATTTCTCTCTTTTTAAATTAATTTGGTTCTCAGATATTTAGAAATAGTATAAATATTACTACTGTAGTCTAAATTATAATAATGATACAATGGATAATCTAGAAAGTGGGTATCTCTCTTAATTATATTTTCCTTTTAAAATCTATTTTTATTTTAACATATTATTTATGTAACTAATAAATTTTTTTCCAAATTATCTCTTTCCCCTTTATCTATATATTTTTACCTTAAAAAACATGTACTCTTTTACCTTAAAAAAACATGTCTTCTTTCATCTTTCTCTCTAATGTTTTTAGAAATGTAAATAATTAAATATAAGCTTGTATGTTGACACTTAAATAGAAAATTACCCCAACAATATTAACAAAAAAAAAAAAGACAAAAAAAATCTGTTTCGATTTTTTTAATCCACAATTTAGAAAAGTAGTGGTTTGATAATGGAATTATGGTCCTCCCTGGACAATGTTTCTACCTTTAGTTGGTTCAAAGAAGTAGTGGGATGAGTGGGTCTAAAGTTTTTACAATTTTCGTGTCTTTTGACATTTACGTGCTTACTTTCTGACTAACAGATTTTATATGAAATTTGAAACGTCATATATTTTCAATTTTTTTTCAAGCTTAAGTGATATTTTAAAATATAATATATATATATATATATATATATATATATTTTGTAAATAAATACAAAATAAAAATAATTTTGTTTTAAAACACAAATTTCTAATAAAAAGTATTTTAAAATATAATATATAACAAAAATAATGTCAATTGTAAATAAATATAAAATATGGATAATTTTTTTAAAATTACAGGTTTCTATAAAAAAAGTATTTTAATATAACTTATAATAAAAAATGATGCATATATAGTGTAAATAAATATAAATAAATATAACTTATGATCATAATAATAATTTTATTATCTTTTAAAGATATAAATAAATGACATATTTTTATAATTACAAATTATTATCATATTTTTAATAAACATAAATATATTATACAATCAAACTTTTCACATAACTATATACATTATATAGAGTTTATTATTTTATAATTAATTTTAAAATATAAAATATTATATTTAAATAAAAAAATTTATGTTCAATTAAGTTTACTAATTTTCAATTTTAAATCTAAACAAAATGGGACTATTTTTTTTTAAAGAAAAGGGTTAAAAAGTCTAATTTTTTTATTAATTTTTAATTTTTTTACATTGAATTTTAATTTTAAATATTCCTTTTTATAATAATAAATTTTACTGTTATCATAATGTTATTAAATCAATTTATTCACATAAATCATCGCCATATTTTTTCATCAATATTAACTTTCTTATTAAAGTATTGTTATTTTATTTATTTAGTTTAGTTATATATATATATATATATATATATATATATATATAATTTATGTTATATGTTATTATATCCAAAGAAGAAAATAATTAGATCTACAAATATTAATAAAAAATGTTATTAATATGAATAAAATTTTTATATATATAGTCATCTTAATAACATTCCTTATTTTCACAGCATATTTTCATTATTCTTGTCACCTCTTTCATTTATATTATTTCCACTATATGTTAATGTTATACTATTCTTATATTACATATTTTTATATTTGAACATCAAACTAGTTATTGAAAAATAGAATATATAATTCTAAAGATCAAATTTACATACATTATAAAATATAATAATTATTTTATAAAATAAAATAATCTTTATATTATAATAATCTACACCATAAATAGAATAGTTCAAATTATATGATAATGATTTTACTTAACTTATATTTTTCTGACCATTCAGGAAACCAATCGTATTTTGACAAGATATGGTAGTGCGCACCAAAATCTTCTTCGACCACGGCAAAAGCAAATTCCGAGGGTGATGTTTTGTTAGTTTCCTTCTCTCTTATTGGTGATTTCTCTTATACTCAAACTTACAAAATTTATGGTTTCAATTCAAATACACTAACGTACAAATTTAACCTTAAAAGGAACAAAGATACGCATATCTCAATGTTAATGGAAGAGATTATTCTTTTATTAAATAGCTAAAATTGATATAATCATTCCTGAAATTTTTTAACAGGTGATTTGGTGATGCATTTTTATTTTTATTTTTATTTTCAATAATTTAATTTATCTTATTAATATATAAATACAAAAAAAAAACAAAAATAATGAATCAATTCATTTAATTCACGTACTGTAATGTTTTTTTTTAATAAAAATCAATGCATATTTTTAACAAAACCGATTTACATATCTTATTACTCGTAATAAAACATTTTTAACTTTAATGTTTTCAAGACACGGTATAATCTACTAATTATTCCACTGTTATTCTTTATTTTGTCGTATAGTATTGAATAAAATGTTGCTTAAAATGATTATATATGTATCTTTCAAATTGTTATAACTTGTCTCATGCCGTATTTTAAGACATAAAATTACAATGATCTTGACTTTTGGATTTTTTTTTTATTATTTTATTTTTTAAAGAAGGTGTCATGTATCCTTCAACATACCTATATCTTACATGTTCTTTCAGAATCTACAATCTGTTTATTGATTTCAAATTTAGGGATACTTTTTCAATGGTCTTTGTTTTTTATTTTTATTCCCAAATATTGTATCAATGAGTTTGTAATAATGAAAAATAGAAAAAATAAGAACAAAAATAAAAAAAATATTATATTAATTAAAAAATATAAAACACAATAAAATTATATAAGAATTACATTTGATTCTAAAAATTGTCATCAATAAATCTGTAAATCCCAATTCATTAATAAATTTGAATAATTCCAAATTTGAACAAGTCAAACTAAGTTGTTAAGTTCATTACATAAAATGAGATTGCCCAAAATCAAAGAGTCAATGGAAAACAAAATTACAGTCAGCACTACCTGTGAAAACCAATTTTACTTAGGTATAAGTGTTAAAATTGAATATTTATTTGTATATATATATTTTTTTCAATACATCTTAACTCAAATATATCTTAATAAGAAAATCAATAAAAATAAAGTTTATAAAAAATGGATCAATATTACCTTTTTTTTCCAAAATTTATTAATTTTTTCCAAAATTTATTAAAATGGGCACAATTTTTTTTTAAATGATCAATTTTGACGAGTTATTTTTGAAGTACAACTTTAAAATAAAAATCTCATCCTACGTCTCAAAGACGACTCATGTTTTTATTATATATAAAAATAAATAAATTATGTTGGATAACATAATTTTAGTTATGCAATTTACTTTTTAATTGTTATATATAAAAACTAAAAAGGTTACTTAATCAATTTTAAAATTTAATTTAAATATGTAAAAAAACTTAAATTACCTAAATTCATCTGTATTTTAATTAAAAAAATTAATCTGTTTGGCACCATTAATTTTACATTTTATGGTATGCACAATAATATCACATAATTATATTAAAAGCAATTAAAAAATTCGTATTAAAATTCCTAAAAAGTTGAAAAAAGAATCATACAACAATTTCTATATTTAATAAAATAATTAATATCATTTCATATAGTTCGACTTCTACGTTATATCATAATTTATTTAATAATAAATAAATTGGGATATTTAAAATGAAAAATGATATATATATATATATATATATATATATAATAAGATAATGTTTAATGATACAATTTTAAACTATATTTTAGAGCACGATTTATGTAATTGTTTAAAAAATTAATCTATTATATTAAATTTTTGACGCAATTGTAGAATACATCGTACTAACGTAAACAGTACAGTGATTAGTAGTACAAATGTAACATCTAAATAATAATTACATATTTAAAGGTTTTAAAATAATATTATCATATTATATAAAAGTACATACACATATCTTTAATAAATATTTAAAATATCATATTTTAAAATATTTAAAATATCATATTTTAAAATATTTAAAATATCATATTTTAAAATATTTAAAATATCATATTTTAAAATATTTAGAATATAATATTTTAAAATAATGGTAACCCTTCCTTAATAAATTGATATTGAGATTGAAATATTTTTCTCCTGCAACAAACATAATAATCTAAATCAATTCATTAAATTATTCGAACAGGTCTTTACATGATATTC